CCAGCCGGCTTTCATGCCTAAGGCGGGACTAGAACTCTCTGTCTCCTGGTGATTGGCCCAAAGTGACCCAGCTGCCTTTCAGGCCTAAGGAAGAACTAGAACTCACCGTCTCCTGGTGATTGGCTCAAAGTCACCCAGCTGCCTTTCATGCCTAAGGCGGGACTAGAACTCTCTGTCTCCTGGTGATTGGCCCAAAGTGACCCAGCTGCCTTTCAGGCCTAAGGAAGAACTAGAACTCACCGTCTCCTGGTGATTGGCTCAAAGTCACCCAGCTGCCTTTCATGCCTAAGGCGGGACTAGAACTCTCTGTCTCCTGGTGATTGGCCCAAAGTCACCCAGCTGCCTTTCAGGCCTAAGGAAGAACTAGAACTCACCTCTCCTGGTGATTGGCCCCAAATCATCCAGTTGCTCTTTGTCCTAAGGTGGAACTAGAATTCACTAACTCCTGGTGAATGGCCCAAAGTCACCCAGCTGTCTTTATGATTTCCCTATTTCGGCTTCTGACTTTAGAAAAGCCATTTTAATCCAGGCCACGAAAGCCAAACTCTGAACCAGGGCAACTAACTGATATTAAAACCCAACCTTTCCAGAACTTTCAGCGTCCTTATTGATTCCTTAATGCACTGAAATGATTTATCGCTTGTATCTTTTATGTACCCTGAGAGCTTATGCCCCGAAGACAAATTCCTTGTGTGTCCAGTCACACCTGGCCAGTAAAGAATATTCTATTCTATTTGATGTTTATTTTCGCCCCTCGTTCAAACAGGACGGGTTCCAGAAATCTGATATTCTGGGCACCAACCAGACAGGAAGCTCAGAAAGGAGGGGTTTGGTCAAACTATTTTTATTGCAGCCAGTCCTCAATTCTATGGCCAAAACGGAGCCCAAATTTGCTAAGCGAGACACCCGCTAAGTGAGTTTTACCCTGTTTTACAACCTCCCTTGCTATAATATTTACAGAGAGTCCTAAGAAACTAGGTTGATGAGTTAGTCAGATGGTTCTTAAGTGAATCTGGCTTCCGCATTGACTCTGCTTGTCAGAAGCTTGTAAAAAGTGGGGATTTCGTGACCGCGGGACGCCGGTCATAAATACAGGTCAGTTGCCAAGCGTCTGAATTTTGGTCTCGTGACCTGGGGATGCGACAAGGGTCCTGAGTGTGAAACACGGCCCAGAAGTCACTTTTTTCAGTGCCGTGGTAACTTTGGTCACTAAATGAACTGTCGTAAGTCGAGGACTACCTGCATCACCCTCAAAATATATATATATATAAAAAGCCATTATTTCTGCCATAGGAATTGCTGTGGACTCTTTAATCTCCAGTCTTTCCATTCTGTGCTGTCCTTATTTCCTGGCATGACGCACCCGTGAAATTGCATTCTCTAAGAAGCCGCATTCCAACACAATTTAGGAAATGCAATCATCTCCCAGAGCCAAGAACGGCCTTGAATACAGGGAGCCCTCGACTTACGACCACAATTCCTTGCTGTTAAGTGAGACATTTGCTAAGTTATTATTATTTTGTTGCTTTGCATGGAGAGCTTATGCACCAGAGACAAATTCCTTAGGTTTCAAATTGACCTATACCAGTGATGGCTAACCATTTTGTCCTCGCGTGCCCACACCCACAATGCAATGTGCCCTGCAATCCTGCGCATGAGTGCACAACACACACACACCATACCCCCCCGCCCCGTGCATGTGCATGCCCCCCGCTCCTGTGCACATGCCCTGTTTTGGGTCTAGCAGACCTCCCTGAAGCCTCCTGAAACAAAAAATGAGGCATGTGGGAGGCGCACCACACATCCCATGCTCCCACCTGCGCCCCGTGCATGCACACGCAACACCCCCCCCACACTCCCTGCACATGAACATGTGATCCCCGTGCCCCATACAGGCACATGGGTCTCCGGCATGCATGGCAGAGAACCCAAAATCAGCTGGCCGGTGGGAGGTATGCGCGCGCATGCACTCTGGAGTTGAGCTGGGCGACAGCTCCGTTGCCCATAGAAATGGCTCCATGTGTCACCTATGGCCTATACATTGTTCTTTCTATTTCTATTTTCGTTTATTTTCTGTATAAATGTGTTTTTATTTTCCATTTTCGTACAGTCACATATATACTGTGCATAACCGGGGCCATATAACATTAAACAATAAA